GAGTGTTTATTCACACCGAGCTTTTTTCTCTTTCCGGTGCTCTGGGAGTGCTAGACGGTTACACAAGCGGACCTAGGCGGTCACTTAAACACTCAGGCGGTCAGGCTACGGTGCTGTGTTCACTCGCTCGAAAAATGTGTGCCTGAAAGGGTTAAAAGCACAGTGCGACGTGGGCGGCGCGCCCGCGCACGCGCGCTGACCGCTGTTTTCGTGCATGCGAGCCATCTCCACCCTCTTTTCACTGCAACAACCGAGACGTAGGGAACCACTCATGCGCCCGACGACAAAAACTCACGAGTGACCGATTGCGTGACAGTGTACGCTGCGTTGCGGCCCCTGCTCTCACAGCTCCCCCTCCTCCGCCGCGCCCCTGCCGCCCTCCTCCTCCTCTGCGTCCTCCTCTGGCGCCGCCGTCGCCGGCTCCGGCGCCGCCGTCGCCGGCTCCGGGGGCGGGTCGAGCTCTGGCGGCTCGAGCCGCGCCGTGGCCGTGCCGCTCGGCGCGACGCCCTGGAAGGACGGGAGGTCCTCCAGCTCGGCGGTCGCCTCGTCGAGCAGCGAGGTGCAGTCGATGGCCACCCACCCGTCCCCCGATGCGGTGGTGCGCGTGCCCGTCGCCTCGTCGAGCGCCTCGGCGAGATAGGCACATTGCATCTGCCGCTGGATGAAGCGGTCCTCGTCGCGCAGCGCCTCCCACTCCCAGTACGGCACCGAGAGCAGCGTCCACCCAAAGTGGCGCAGCTGACGCCGCTTGAGCACCGTCGAGCCGGTCGGCCTTCGGTCGGTCCGGAAGTGCGACGGGCCGTCCACTTCGATGCCGACCCGCACGCCGCCCCACTCCGTGGCCACGTCGATCGAGTAGCCTTCGGGGATGCGAACCTCCTCCTGCGACGGCAATCCGAGCGAGCCGAGCGCGTAGCAGACGTGCCGCTGCATCCGGCTCGGGTGCACTTGCGCCGACGCGAACGCGGCGCGGGAGCGCCTCTCCAGCTGTGGCGGCAGCGGCGGCCACTCGCAGCCCGTCTCTGCCCGCCACAAGCTCCACTGGTGCAGCTGGTTCAGCTGCTTGTCGTTCCACTCCACCCGATCGCACATCTCTGCGAACCTCGCGCCAGGCCCAAAACACTCGTCGCTGCGCACGTCGGCCACGGCAAACGCCCAAGCGGTGTTGGCGAGCTCCTGCGAGTTGAAAGTGTGCAGCCGCGGGCCAGACTCGCAGCCGAGCGCCGCCACGAAGCCCGCGTCCTCATGCGCCGCGCTCGCGTACGCCCACGCGAGGTTGGCGAGGCCCT